CACGCACGCACGCACGCACGCACGCACGCACACACACACACAAACGCACACCGCGCGCGCGCACGTGCACGTTTATAACGACACAATGTTCGCGATTATACGCGCTCACGGATACACACAGATTTGGCCTGGGAGACACACAAATAGACGGCCAACTGGAAAACCTTCCAATTCGATTCAAATTGCAATTACCATCGTGTTGTCGTTTTCTTTTTTTCTTTAGGCGACGACGTGTGTGCAGGTGCGCCTTGTCTTAATGGTGGCAAATGTATCCCCGTCAGATCAGCAGTTCCGTCATACATGTGCAACTGTGCCCCGGGCTTCACGGGCGCGAACTGCCAAACCATTAGTCGTACGTATCTCAGATTGTGCAGGAATACAGGAATATAGTCACTGCTTTTTTTGGTAGACGTACACTACCCCGTGTTACGTTACCGACATTGCCATTACCGGTTTACCGGTGTGTTGCATTACCGGCGTTTTCAGGGACCACATGTACCAATTCTGCATGCAAGAATGGAGCGACGTGTCTGAATTTCCAGAACAATATCCTATGCGTGTGTCCGCGTGGCTTCTTTGGCAGTGACTGTGGCACAGGTATGTTGTGGCGCCGGTATTCATAGCTTCAGTTCGAAGCTGCATATTCGAACGCGTCGTTATTATATTATATATTAATAAAACGGGTCCTGGCGATTTAACACAATGCCGAATATAATTACAACGTATATTATATTTCACATGCAGCATATATCATAGTTTATATTATTACACTATATTATAATATATATTATTGTCCACAGATCACTGTAGCAGTAATCCGTGTCTTAACGGGGGTAGATGTGTTCTACTCGAGAACACATTCGCATGTGATTGTCCAGCAGGCCATATTGGCCGCGTTTGTGATACCGGTAGGTTTCAGAGCTCAACATTGTCGCGAACATATCTATAATTATAATAAACGTTGATGAACACGATGTCAGCTGTTCTAGCAACGATGAGACTTCTTAATTTTCTAAACGTGATGCGTATGTGTTAGTATGAGTAATGAGGTTTCTAATTATTGGTTTCTTTGTACCGAAGGTTGGTACCCATGTACAGTATAGTTCTGGTAATATGCAATATTTCTACATTATTGAGAAATTATATGCATCTAGAATATACAATGTAAAATTTGTATTAAGATTTAGAGCAGGACGTACGAATTTGCTTACACTATAAAGACTAGAGACCAGTCAGACTTGTATATATTACTAAGCTAGGCTGTCAATACGGTGCGACAGGGTTCATTTATTGTGCTACCCGATGGAGGATAGTTTGTAAGTTAAAAAATAAATCGGAAATTTGAATGCATGAACGTAGATTAGGCCAGTGTGGCACCTATCGGCATTATTAAAAAAATTCCAAAAACGTTGTTTGAGCAGCTGATGTAGTGGTCTTTCACGTCATTATATAGATAACTATGTTCCTTGATTATAATATAAAGAATAATGCGGATATACAATACGATTTACTTCTCAAATAGCTGTGTCTGCAGGTGACGTTTAAACATTAGTCGGAAAAGTTGCGAACCCTTACTCTTTTGTACAGCCTTAGAGGTTATCAGAGGGACTCGATGAGCCCAACTTTTCTATGTACGTATCACGCCTAACGTAGATGCGTACGTAACGTAAAGCAACTGCGCAGTCCATGATACGTTCAATGCCTTCCCTTCGAGGAACCAGTGAACTATATCTAACACTGCACACTTTAAACCCGAAATATCGTGTGGATCACAGATGTTCAAATAAGGCTGTGTGCTCTTTGATCGATCGTTCGTAGCTTTTCAGCGATGAATCATTGTGCACCGGACCCCTGCATGCACAGAGGCGTCTGCTACAATGAAGGGTCGTCGTACCGCTGCGCGTGCCAGGCTGGCTTCACAGGACAGAGCTGCGAAAACTGTACGTGTGTCCCACCGATTATATTACAAGTTTAAAAAAATTATTATAAATTCTAACAATTGCTTTGTGATCACTTATACTAACTGTGACCATAGCATTTCTTGGCCAGACCTAATATATTTGTTAATCGTTATAGCAATATCTAGTGATTAACGCGATCAGATGAACGGTTAATTCTAGACACTAGTCAGTTTACAGTACATTACTTCACAGTCGCATCAGTTGCGCAGCAAAGTCGTCAGCAGACGTCTGGCCAGGGCTGCCCGGAGCGGACCACTGTACCCAATAATGTTGCCGAAAGAATCTCATATCCAGGGTATTATATTATTATCAGGGGTGAATAATAATAGATCAATAGAATCAATTATTATTCAATCCTAATATTATCACACCTCATGTAATCTATACGTATAATCGCTTCATTTATAATCTGTCTAGAGACAACTTTTCGTAGGAAATACATACATACACTGATTTTACGTGGCGTTTGTGCGCGCGTGCTTGTATGCATATTCGTGCTTTCGTGTTTGCACGAGTGTGCGTACTCGCGTGTGCTCGCGCTTGCATGCATTCGTGCGTCAATGCTTGTATTCGCTTTCGTTGTTCTTCTCTGCTGTTGATCACAACTGGTCCAGGAGAATAGATGTCTCAAATATTTAAATTAAGATTGTAAAACATTAATCGTAACGTTTTTTCATTAATATTACGTTCTAAATAGGAACAGACCACCGCCTGGCGTATATCCCGCCTTTACGCGTATATCATACGGCTGCAAACAAGGTTTCTACGAATTGCTGGGCCCGTCCGATGTTATGTGTAACGCGGATGGTCGCTGGAGCGCTGGAGATGTTAAGTGCGTTCCAGGTAATGTTGAATTTGTTTTATGCATCGAACGACTACATATTCGTTACGTATGATAATGTGTTCAATATGGGCAATACGAGTTAAGTGTGTTTATTATGTGATACGTTCAATATGAGTTCAGTGTGTTTAGTATGTGATACGTTCAATATGAATTCAATGTGTATAGTATGTGATATGTTCAATAAGAGTTCAATGTGTATAGTGTGTGATGTATGTAATACGAGTGCAATCTGTTCAGTGTATGATGTGTTCACTTCGTGTTTATTGTATGATATGTTCAATAGGTGCTGAAACTATGGTGTGCTCCATACCTGTACAATATAATCAATGGTCTTTTGTCCTTTTATTCTTGCAGAGTGTGGCGTGGTGGCATCGAATGTTCGAGAGACCGTCGTGGGAGGAAATTCGACAAGACGATGTCATTTTCCATGGCAGGTAGCTCCACTTTATTGCCAGCTCTATCTTATGATCAGTGATAAAGGGTAGCCAGAGATTCAACAGGTTTCTATGGCATCATTAGTATTGAATAGCAATTAAATATTCCGCCTGAGCATTACAGTCTACTAGATTTCACTTACTACAGTTTACTAGTTACAGTTTACTACAGTTTACTAGATACAAGTAATGTATCGCAGCTTCATTTGCAATAGATTAATGCTTAAACATCAAAGACGACACGAAAGTTACAAACGTCTCGACCAAACTACAAACGATAAAACTGTATCCAACGCAAGTAATAGCTCTACACCGAAAGCGGTGTTTCACCCACGTGTTCGCAGGGTTTCACCTACGCATTCGCCGTGTAACACACAACGCGTTCGCGGTGTTTTACCCACGTGTTCGCAGTGTTTTACACCACGTGTTCGCAGTGTTTCACCCACGCGTTTGCGGTGTTCACCCACGCGTTCGCGGTGTAACACACCACGCGTTCGCGGTGTTTCACACCACGCGTTCGCGGTATTTCACCCACTTGTTTGCAGTGTTTTACACCACGTGTTCGTGGTGTTTCACCTACGTGTTTGCAGTGTTTTACCTACGCGTTCGCGGTGTTTTACCACGCGTTCGCGGTGTTTTACCACGCATTCTCGGTGTTTCACTCGCGCGTTTGCAGTGTAAAACATCACGCGTTCGCGGTGTCGCGATGCCAGATCAGCGCGTGTGAATGCATGTGTTCGCATGCACTACACAGGTTGTCATCTACAAGAGAGGCGTGTTCCACTGCGGCGGCACACTGCTTGATGACAGCTGGGTGCTGACGGCTGCCCACTGTGGCTTCGAAGCCAACGGTGACCGCGTGGTGGCGCTGCGGCCGTCGGACCTGGACATTGGCATCGGGAAGCGGTTCAGTAGTCGGCGCCAGACTGAACAGTACGCACAGTTTCGGCAGGTTAGTGCTCGCTATTGCCTCAGTACGGGCCGCCATTGATGGTGGGTCAATAAGTTTATGATTTAATGCCAGATACGGAAATTAAAATAGGACATTTGCTATGATTGGTTTCACTGCTTTATTCGTTGATTATCTGATATAGAAGACAATCCGTTTATCATGTGTTAAAAACAATAGAGGTAACAACGCAATTCGTCTCGTAGTCATGCTCGTATTATTGCTAATGCCGATGGTAATACATCCAATAACACTACTTCGAGCAAGGGAATGATAAGACTATAAAACATTCATACAAATGCGGAATTTAGCTACATTTTTGTTTCAGTAGTTAAAGCAGTTATAATTTATTATTCTGACATATAACATTGATGCGGGCACACGTTTTGATATAGGTACGACGTATAATTGTACATCCAGCCTACAGCCAGTTCACGCTCGAGAATGATATGGCTCTGCTTAAGCTGCAGACCCCCGTAGAGATCGGTGTGTGTGTGCGGGTAAGCGTCGCCTATAGGCTTTCATCAATGACGAATATAGCGTACATGGTTTATTCCAGTATATCACTATCCGGCATACAAGAACTAAAGTAAAATAGTGATAATATTAGCATTTTCTGCATACACGAGTTACGTGTGTTCATGTCGAATGTATTTCTGGTGGACGTGTAAATGCATATATTTCATGTATCTAACACTCATTTCAATATCTAATTTGTCCTGGCTTGATAGTACGTTTTCACACTACGCCCGTCTCTCCTATATAATATTGTTTTTACTATTGAACCTCGCCCATAATTCAGAATAAGCGTATCTACGCAGACGCGCAGGAAATGTCAGCGATACGTTACACGTGATAAACACGCGATGTTGCATTGAGATTAATTTTCTCGTAGCCTGTTTGCTTGCCGAATGGAAACATTCCGAGACCTGCCACCGGAGAGCATCTGATTGTTACCGGCTACGGGTCTACGGGCACGGGCGAGCCTTCTTCGGACGTCCTACTGCAGGCGCAACTACCCATCGTCTCCTCGATCGAGTGCGAGCAACTCTTCCACGCAACAGGTCTTCCGGAGTTGCGTATCAACGACGACTTCCGGTTCTGCGCCGGATATTCCGCGAAGGGAGTTGCCGATTCGTGCAATGGCGACAGCGGAGGGCCGTTCGTGAAAGCATACGGAAATCGATTCGTCATCCACGGCGTTGTGAGTGCTGGCGGCTCGCTAGGGTGCGCTGCCGGTCAGTACACGACCTACACGCGCGTGTCGGGCTTCTTGGATTTCATCATCAATACAATGTCGAGATCGGGGTAATAACCGCTGCTTTGACGAGTAACAGGTTGTCATGCAAGTGCTTATCTCTACGTCTCTCAGCTAGAGGATCATATAACGAATGATACGTGAATTTAACAAAGCGTAGAAATAGTTTGCCAACGAGTGAGAACGTGCGTTGTTACAGTTATACTGCATGATAAGGATGACTAGACTGTATAACAAGCACTATGCTGTTACGATAATAATTATACCTAATCAATAAACACTTGCTACCGTACTAGCTCTGGATTTCATTTGTTCAAAATCTTATTTCGACATTACACATACGGACAGGCGCGTTTATGCACGTACGTGAACACACGCGCGCGCCCGCACACATACATGCACACAAACAGGAATGCGCATCCGTTCACTGATGCACGCGCTTACAAACACATACACAAACGCCTACATACATACACACACACACACACACACACACACACACACACACACACACACACACACACACACACACACACACACACACACACACACGTACGGAGGACTAACTCACGATGTCTCGCCAAAAACCAGTTTACACAAGTATGTCGCCAAGTCGCGAAAGTGTGTCCACGTTTACCCGCAGGCGTCTGTTGTAACCGGAGAAATCCAAGAACAACGCGCATGCATGCGATGGTCATGCAGTCGACCATGAAGGCTTGCGAAGATTTTGTTTGCGGCAGGCGTTACCGTGTGACCATGTCGACCCGCCAGCGATGTCGTCTGCTTCTAGGTCTCAGCGCGTTAGGTCTTAGGCGCGTGTTAGGTCTTGCAGGGTAGTACTAACCGGTTGTACGCCGAAGCTGTTGCATCAATCATGCGGTTATTCTAAGCATAGATGTTCTAAGAGAAGTGCGCAGTTTGCTAAGTTTTTCTAAACACAAGGTGACTGGCTTGTTTACTGTAGCTGAACGCACGATGCAGCTCGGTGGCTACGCGAGGATTACGCAGGTGGGTTCATGTGAAATTCTATATATTTAATATTATATCGCATATTGCTCTCAATAATGATAAAAATTACCTAATTCCAACTAAACTCAGATAATAGCTCCGAGTAGTGTCGGATAACGTGCGTTGGCTAAATTAGTCATATCTGTTTACGTTTCGAGCTGATGATATTAGTGTCTTGGCGTTAATCGTAAATGAACCAAGCTATTTGTAACAAGCCATATACAGCGAAAGGCACGCGAATATAAGAATTAGCCTTATCGTGTGATGAAATACGTTTAATTGCCCAATATAACGATTTATAATAAATGGTAGGTATATATATCAACAAGAAATGAAGCAAAATTTTCTACCATATTAACGATAATAAATAATTAACTTTTCGAATAATAAATGTTTTCGACAAATTCGTATTATGTTGACTATCTTCCTTGTATTGTGCGCGTGCCAGCTCTAGGTATTACTTCGTGCAATATTAGTGACGGGGACACTATCTCAATTGTGGCGGAAGCAACGCCATCTATGAGCAGAGAATTCACATGAACCTAGGAGGATGCGGACTGTATGGATCATCGCTTTCGTTGCTGTGATCGCAAGTAAAAGTGCATACGGAATCACCACATAGAAAAATGTAGAAGCAACTGCATTTTCATCTGTCAGAATCTTACTGTTGAAAAGTATTGCACGGTGTGACAAACAGACGTGCGATGGAATGTGATATATATAGATAGATAGATAGATAGATAGATAGATAGATAGATAGATAGATAGATAGATAGATAGATAGATAGATATGATAGATAGATAGATAGAAGATAGATAGATACATAGACTAGATAGATGATAAATAGAAATAGATAGATAGATAGATAAGATAGGATAGATGAGAGAGAGAGAGAGCGAGGATAGCAACAGACGCACGCAGCAGCACGACGAGAGAGAGTAAGAGAGAGAGAGAGAGAGAGAGAGAGAGAGAGAGAGAGAGAGAGAAAGAGAGAGATAGAGATAGACAGAGCGTATGTAGTGCATGCATATGCGGCCGCGCGGATGTGTGCTAGAGAGATTATATTCACATATTTACAAAATTATGAGCGCATAAAATTCCTTATACGCCGTAATCACTATTTTGAGACTAATTATAATTAAGTAGGGCGTGCTGGTTGCCCACACACCAGCTTATTCCCGCCAACGCCATCTATAGGCTACATTCATAATAATGTTTGGCGCCGCGGGATCCACACCGAAATCATATTAAAAAATTAAAACGAAAAAAACATATCCTAATACCGTCTATCATTTCGCGGATGCTGTATCAATGTGGGCAACCAATCACACGCTGTGCCGCTGTATGACTGTACTATACGGGGATAGTTATTATAAGCCACGTTTATAGCGAGCGGTATCAAATTTAATCGATAGTAATCAAACGTCGCATAACTTTGCTAACCGATGATGTTGGGAATTGTTTTACTTTCGCGTGAATGCTTGAGTAACGTTTCTACGCAACTGCGACTCCGTGCCCATCCACGTGTGTTCGCGCGAGTTATCCTGAAAAATCGTGCGTGTATGGCCGGGTTCATACACTCAGTCGTAGAATGGCGTTATATAGAGGATATCGTGTGCAGAACCTTTATGTCTGCAGTCTTGTCCAATTTCACAATGATATCGAGGCAAATACGCCCCTCCCATGACGTCAGTTAGTATTTTATAGAACGGTAAGCATGTAATAAAATGCATTGTTTCTATTTTTATTGCAGAGAAATCTGCAGCCGTCGGACCGCCCGCCGATTTATGCAATCCGTCGCCATGTCTGAACGGCGCTCCGTGTACGAGGTTGGCGAACGTAAACTTCTACTGCGCCTGCGCAGAACCTTTCACGGGACGGATTTGTGAAACGCGTAGGTATTGCCGCAAAGGCACTATTAGTTTGAGGGAGAACTATTGTTACTTGCCATTACCTGGTGCGACAAAGCTCCGACGCTCTAAGCGCGTATAGTTACTGTCGAGATGGTCAGACGGTATTGTTGGTCCGTGTGGAAAACACTAACTTTCTAATACTAAATTGTAAGTTCAGACTTTGCGTTATTCTCCAGTATACTCTTTCTCTTTCTCTCTCTCTCTCTCTCTCTCTCTCTCTCTCTCTCTCTCTCTCTCTCTCTCTCTCTCTCTC